TACCCCTGGAGTCTTGCAATTAATAAATTCTTATATTTTATAAATATTTTAATTATTTTATTTAAAAAATAATCAATTTAGTTGTTTACTATTTTTTTTAATTTCTATACTTATAAATTTAATAGAATATATATACATATAATATGTATATATATAGATACATTTTGAGGGACAATTTTGTCATTTCAAGTCTCAAAGATCAGCTAGGGGGGATTCTGCCTTTGACTAAATTTCACAGGGGGGTTTTTGCTAGTTTATTTATCACAGGGGGCTTTTTGCTATTTCGAGATAACACAGGGGTAGTATTTGCAGTTTACTCGCAATTTATGTTTTACATTAATTTACGTTTTCTTTTTTATTTATTATTATTTTTTTTCATTCCCCAAATTACGAAGACGACTTAGGCATCGTTTGATTGGTTCGATAAGTCATAATTAACTAAATAATTGAAATAAAATGTTTTTAAAATAATAATTCGAAAAGGAAAAAGAAGTTCCTATGGTATTTTTTTTTTCTTCTCTTTTTACTTGTTTCCCGATTTTCCTCCTGATATCTTGAATCTATGGCTAAATATTATGTAAGGTGCTTACCAACGAGCTATCTTGTCTCTTGACAAGTTCTTATGGTATGTTTCTTTCTACATGCATCGGTTTCGTAAGATGTTGGATATTTAAAGAAAGACGAGAATTGATGTTTTCGATATGTTCTTTTGAATTGCTAAAAAAGTTCACGTGTTATTACTTATTATTAATAATAACAAAAATTCTTCTATGATGTATTTCCTTTAGCCCGTACATTCTTCAAATGATAAATATTTAGGAGTGGTTTGTTAATTAATTACTCGAGTAAGGATTTTTTTCTTAATTTAATCTTATCTTGGGGACCTTCCTGTAATTTGCCTAATAAATTATAATTAGAGTGATATTTTTGCAATTTAAAAGAGAAAAGATGGTTAACATGTATTTACTTTTCAACACACTGATTTATTATATATACACAATACATATATATATATATATATATATATATATATATATATATATATATATATATATATATATATATATATATATATATATATATATATATATATAGTTGCTTATGTTGTCGTGATGTTTCCTTACTGATATGCCTAATTGGCCCAACTCAATGGGCCTACAAATTATTTACCTACTGGGCTACGAGCCCAATATTGAAGACTAATATCACCGAGGCCCAAACACCTTCAAGTAAGGCTTGGGCCCAACAAAGCAAACCCAACCCAATAAACGACATATAAATAGAGGTTTTACTCATTTTATTAAGGCTCTGGACTATTTCTACTATCAGCATGTCTGACTTGAGCGTCGGAGGGGTTTCCGCCGGATCAACCCCCGGCTTAGTTCATGTGTGCTCATTTTGCAGGGACCTCAGGACCATCAAGTTGTCAAGCTACTGATCTGCTTTGCTCTCCCAGCTCATTTTCTACACCACCCTAGGTGAGCTATATTTTAGCATCATCATTTTGGCGCCGTCTGTGGGAACGATGCAAACCAGATCACGTAGCTGTTGGGTGCTAAATACCAACACGCAAGTGTACGTATCGCAAACAAGTAGTAAAGTAGACTCGTGAGAGTCGGATGTCGATCCCACAGGGAATACGCAAATTATTTAATGCTAAGTACCAAATCCTAACAATTGTGATTTTTATCCAGCCTACGCAGGGTTGTCAAATTAATTAACTAAATAAATTAAACTAATTAAGAACGCAAGTAATCACGAGAAAAAATCAATAATAAACGGATCTAGGATTTTATCTTCCCCCTATGCGATAATTCTTCACCCAATTAATTTCCTATCATGCAAGTTACGATTCCCGATTATTAACCCAAGACACGAAATTATTCATAACCAGCTGTCGCTGCGCTATAAACCTATTATTCATAAAAGATTCACTATATGTCTATGCAAACCTAGTATAAATAAAGCATTAAATAGCAAGTCTCGCAAACGGCTACCTAAGGTATTATCTGTATGTCTACGATAATACATGCAATTAACACACACATTCGGTGAAAAACTACTCGAAGGCTCTTCTATCCCTGTTCTAATTATTAAAACGATCTGTCAATCAATTCTAACAATAACAAATAGCAACATAAGTTAGCTACGCTCATGCACTAAATACGATCAAGATAGAAGAAATAATCGAAGAATTAAACTTGCATAAAAGTAGAAAAATAGGTTCGAGTTACCACATAGGGTTCCAATAAAATCCTAGAATAAAAACTTAGCTACTCATGTTCGTTACGAAAAGCATAATAAAAATACGAAAATTCATAAAAATCAGAAAAGAAAAGGAAAAAGGAAAACTAGGATGAAGAGTCGTCAAGTCTTCGTCTTCGTTCTCTTCCTCCTTGATTGCGTGTAGAAAAGATAAAAAACTAAAAACTAATAATAACGATAAAAGGTAAAAGATCCATCTAATTGTGTGCTTGTGGCCTTTAAATAGGGTGCAAAACTATAATAGGGCGGGTTTCCTTGTGTAATTGGGTTTCCTTCACTGCGCCATCACGTCCACCCGGACGGCCGTGTGAGATTTTGAACTAAAATCCGCACGGCCGTGCGGTCTTTTAATTCTCCAGAATTCTGCTTTTTTCACTTTTGGCCCACTTTTTCTCCGAAATTGCAGTTTTCACCCCAAAAGTTGTCAATTCTTCAATTTGCACCTAAAATACAAATAATAACCAAATTAAGCACCAATTATCGTAAAAACACATCAAAAGCTCCAATTAAAAGGTACAATTAAGTGTATAAATATACACTTAACACACCCCCAAACTTGAACTTTTGCTTGTCCTCAAGTAAAATCAAATTAATAGCACAAAACAAAACCATACATCTCATTACATAGATCGATGGGTCAACTTCGCGTTTTCAGAACTTGCAATTATGATGACAATTCATAGGTATTCGCAAGCTTAACATTCAACGGCACTTAGTCACTTACTATTACCAAAAACCACAAATCATACAATTGCTTCAAGTATCCAATATTTGCAAGTTAAAGATAGAAAGAATTTATACTTACATGCATATATTTGACTCCAAATACTCACCAAATTATTTTACTCAACTAATATTGAACAATAAGCTATTGGGATCATTGGGGCTTTGTGGCTTTCAATTGTTAGGCTCTTTGGTCCGAGGTAGGTAATATGGGAATGTGTGGCTAATTTTCTTGAATTGAGGTGATTACGCCAAAATTTGAAAGATAGGCGTTTGAAACAATGAATTCACCTCTAGGGACTTAAATAAACTCGATTCTCCAAAATTCACACGTCAACACTTTTGCCTTTGAGGCAATGACTCGAGTTTTCAACACAATTCAACAACTAGTCCTTATTTCTCCCTTATAATCTATTCTTCTTCTTCTTCTATTTTTATTTTTATTTATTTATTTTTTTTTTTATTTTTTTTATTTTTCGAAGAAGAAGAAAGATCTTATACGAATTTTTCGACCGACCTCCAAGGGATGATTATTCAGAAATCTCCACTTTTCTACCTTCTACACATTGGCTAAAAGAAAGAACACCTTTTCTCCGAGGCTCAAATCAAGGTTCTAAGGATAATTTGACAAAAATGGTAGGCTTGAAAGGCTCAAACGGTTCAAAGAAGGCCCAAATCATATCCCAAGTCACTTATTATCAACACTTCGTATCATAAATATCTTAAGGTGAGATTTAAAACCGAAAAAAGCATGATTGAGCACAAATAAATTCCAAATTTAAAATGCAAAACATTCAACCAAAGCAATGCACAAGGTGTGATTCCTAGCAATAATTCACTTCTACGTTCCGTTGAATCGAAAGCTAAACAACTACATACTCCTTATCAACATAAAACAAGTAGTCTCATCATCAAACATTGACCATCTACCATCATCATAATTCATCGATGCATCGAACACAAATTCTTTTTTTTTTTTTTTTTTTATAAAAACGAAAATAATAAAACGGCAATTAAAACAAAAACTAAAGCATGCAAAATAAATAAAGAAATAAAACACACATAAAGCGCACATAAACGAAACAAGTAGTTAACCACCCCCAAACTTAAAATTCACATTGCCCTCAATGTGATTCGCCCGGAGTTTAAGGATAGAAAACACCTGTTTTTAAGCGTAGGGACCATCGTCGGGTTGCTCACCAACTCCTCCTTGCGCATGAGAATCACCATCTCCTTCATTATCCGAAAGCTCGGGTACCGGCTCAAGAATCGGGGCGGGCAACGGAGCCGGTTCTTCGCACTCGGGATTGCCACATGCCAAATGGCGCACAATGGCTTGGAGCATCTTCCCTGACCACCGTTGGAGGGATTCGATCGTGCTCACCTTGTGCTCCACCGTTGCAAGCCGATTTCTCGTGATCACCAACTCTCGCTCCATTCTTCGTTGAAATCGTCGGTCCGAACTTGTGCTTGGACCCTCGGGTGGAGCTATTGGTTGGTTCTC